CCCTCCCCCTCCCCCCTCCCCCTCCCTCCTCTCTCTCTCTCTCTCTCTCTCTCTCTCTCTCTCTCTCTATGAATGAAGGACATTCATCATTGAGTTTGTGCTGTCCAATCTATCCAGGTTACAAATCTATGACTTCCCTTTTATCAAAAAACTATAACTACCCTTCAAAGCTACCTATTGTATCGATGCAAATACAATGCTTTTGTGCATTTGGCCGGTGCTTACCAAAATGCTTCTCAATGAGTGAAATTTAAGGCTTCAGATGTAAATTACGTTTTGAATAAATAGGATGCCTACAGCAATTCAATCCAATGTTTTCCCTGGTGAAAATAATTTCAAGTTAGTGTTAAGGTGGCTAGTTCAAGCCAGCCCTGATGAAGTATTTTAGGGTTAGGGTTTGCTAAGTTAGTGGGACTGGTATCAGATTCTATTGATCTCAAATGAAGTACATTGAGCACATGATAATAAATTCGATAGTTCACACTCTAGTTCTGAGTAGGATACGACAGTACGTACGTAGCATGGATGTTTAACTTGATGGGATTGAATACAATGAGATCATTTACCTATCGTATAAGAAGGTCACAATTGCTTATAACCATCTAAAGTGAAATTTGATGGCTTGAGTGTATCACATAGTTGGAGAAAGTTTTTTTAGAACTTGTGCTTGGACAATGGAATAAATGTAACCACTCAATTTTATATCCAATGGTCAATATTAATGGTGACCACTTTGTATCAAAGGTAAATTGTCTCATTGTATATTTTTCCTTAATTTTATACCCTAATTTAACTGATCTGCTGATTTCAGTCCATTCCTTTATTTCCAAATCAATTCTCCTACAAATGCTTCATTGCATTTCTGATATCCAGTAGCTACCATTCTTGATGTGAAGCCAAAGCATGTTCCTGTCATTATTGGGATGCATCAAGGACATTTCATTTAGTTATTTGGTCATTTTGTTGTGTTTATAGGTGACCCGGCTTCAAAATACAAAATTAAAGTTCCAAGCAGATATTTAAGGAAAAAATTACACCTTAAAATGTAGAATTACAGATGCACTTCAAAAATCCATTGGAAAATGTTGGTTTAATGTTGAAAAACTCTTTAATTGATCATCTCGACATCGAGATGTATGAATATGAAAAATAAATAAAAAAATTGAGCTCCAAAAATAATGCATCTTGCAACACATTATCTAAACCATCCATTTTCAAGATTTTCATATATTTATAGATCTACTTGATTTTAACCATTTTTGGTGTTTAAAATTTTATAATTAGATATAAAAATAGACTTTCAGATAATCCTAAAAAAAAAAAATACACCAAAATTACATGTTATGATAAAATTTGGAAGTGCGCCTCAATTGGATTGTTTAAGGTTGCAACCTAATGGAAACCTTTTATACTGAGTGTTCTTTTCTTTTCTGGAATATAAGAGTATTTTGAACCAAGGTCTTAAAAGAGTCTTATTTCTTGCAATATAAATGCAATAACAAGGAAAATTGCCTACATAAGCTTTCATCCCATACAAATTGCTTTTTTAGCAATGTTCAGGTCAAAAGCTCAGATGCCTTTTCTGGGGAAGCTTTATATATATCTTCACACACATAATCATGTGTTTGGAGAATCACAATCATCTACTTGATCATGATCGGACAATTGGGAATGAGAAAAAGCAATATCACATGTTGGTGCCAACCGTGTTTCTCAAGACATAACTAATAAATTATCAGCTCATTACTAGCCTACTGATCAAAAAATTGGACGACTAGATGTCTCTAGACATAAGTTATGTGTGTGAAGACACATACAAAGCTCACCCTTATTTTATCCTTAAAAGATAGACTATCAATCGAAAGTGTGACCTACCCTCCAAGTCCATAGATTTCCACTCAAATGTTTTTTAAACCTTTAGTTTTGGCATTTTCTCTTCTTGGATCCGACAGAAAAATAATGGGGTGCAAAGGTAAACTTTTTTTCGGTTCTTTTTGATGGATAGGATTTGAGTTGGAAAACAAGGGTGAATGACTGGCACTAAAAATAATTGACTAGGCATAGAAACTACAAGTGGTGAAATTCAGAAAATCAAGCTCCTTCAATGGGGATCTCCAAAAGAAAATGAGACCAAAAACACAAACCCTCACAAGGTAACATGTGAGGCATGGTGTATACAAATAAACCACTCACCACCCACCCTCTCAAATACATTTGTGGCAACCTGCTTTCCCCACCTACTACCCTTAGTCTTAACCAACTCCAAACATGTAACATACCCAACATCTCCCTTAACATGGACTTCAACATTTTGCAAGTCAATCTTTAGTGGGAATTCCACATCTGCCCCTGCAACCAGCTCCCAACTCTCCATTATATAGGCACATCCTGAAATCATACCAGCACCAGGGTGGACACAATGAGTATTCTCGCCTCTAAGCCATATAACACGCATAGCTTCAAGGTCCCCACTTCTAAATGCATTATAGAATCGAGTATTCGCATTGAGGACGCCGGCTTTGCTGCTCTCTTGCAGTGCTTGGAGCTTGTCCCGAAGCTCGGCTGCTCTATTGTAATTCTCTTCTTGGATTGCGCTTTCTAGCTCACGGTCAAGTGCTTGCTCATCGAGGATCATGTCTTCGTTGCTTATGGCACCCTCTGTCTCCCCACTAAGTGCTTGACGAATGTATCGGGGATAAAGAGTATGTGCTGCAATGGGGATTCGGTATGCTAAGGGGGGGGGAAGGGGCAAAAACTAAGTGCAAACCAACACGTACATATGCATCTGTGCTTGTGTGTATGTCCATAAGCATGTATGTATTTCTATGTACATATGAATATATATAAAAATATTGATAATTCATAGATGGTGAAATGAGCATGAGCATAGAAATCTCTATATGTGTGTAGGCATATATGTACACACTCATACATTTTTGTTAAATATAAAGGACATAGAATAAGGGTGTGTTTGCATGTGGCATGTAAGTCACATCACTGAACCGCCCTACTCTGCATAATTATAAAACACCTTTTCACTAGTTATGCACTTACACTGAAAAGTAGTAATGCTCTGGATATCAGACCTACACCGAACACCCAATCATGAGGGCCCGGTGTATGAATTCACGTTATCCATGACTTATATGCCATCAAGACATGCCCTATTATATAGAATATGGATTTTATACTATTAGACACTAGAGACCGTTAACCTTTGGTACGAAAAAATCACAATCACCTTTAGCTATTTGATGTGAAATCGAGCTGCTGGGGATACATCATTTCTTTGACTAAAATCCAGGAGAAAATTTCTCAAGACTATGAGCTCATCAATGGCACACCATGGAGGTGATTGTGCCTTGTTGTCCCAAAGCTAAATTGTCTATTGTACACTCTCCCTATAGAACATATATACACTGTTAAAAAATTCTAAGTCCTGCCTGCCTAAGCAGCTAGGCGGGCACCTAAAAACCTTGTTGGCCAAAAGTTCTTTTTTGTTTTGCTTTTTTTGTTGAACACTGTATATATACACATGAATGTTCATAATACACATACAAATCCAATCCCAAATATCTATTTAGTGGCAGCATTTATCAATGATCAGTATCCAATTGGCATAGTATATGTGTTTAACAAAAATATCCAACATGTGGAAGAAAGAAGGCTACATAAATTTCAAGAATGTTTGGGAACACACAAACCGGGTAAAATAGGTTGCGAAGGCAATGTGAATTCTGTATACCATCCTGACATCTGAAATCCATCCCTTCTTTGTGGAACCAATACCAACGGGGCTGTAATATGTTTCCTAGACAATGACGAATAACAAGCAGAAACCTACAATTGAAAACATTTTGTATATAAGAATACAATAATAACAAAAACACTATGACATGTGTTTTTTATGCCAATGAAGAAAAGTGCAAACCTAGTGTTGAAAACTTGGACATCAAATCTAATACACCTACAAATAAGAACAAAAAACACCCACGTGTTATGCTAACCCAACTACATGACTCGCACTGTCTCTGTCCCACACAAACTTATACAGATAATTGAAAATAAATCCAAAGAAGAAAGTAAAGGAACCACGGGGGTTCTTTTAGGTTCCTGATCAGTCCATAACAAATAGGTTTAGTTGGAAACTCAATCATTATGGTAAAGTTGAGCTGGGCAATTTTTTATATTTGTTGCAATACATTGTCGTTTCAGCTACTGGTCTCAATATCTCAAACTTGAGAAATTCAAACTTTTGCCAGGTAAATTTATGAAGAGTTAGTGGGATCGAAGAACGGAGTTTCAAAAAGACTATGAAAATGATTTAGAACATGGCAAGTCCGACTTGAACTCGCCTGAGTTACTAGGACTCCGCAGGCTGCTGATTCCAGAACAGAAACCTCGGGAACTGGCTGACTCTGCCAAGGTCTTATTGCTAAATATTTTTAAGAATTGGCAGAGTTTCTCAGAGACTTGGCTGAGTTGCCTGACTCAGGCTTGGACCCAAGCTGAGTCCCAACCCGAGTCTTTGGTTTAAACACTGGTTGCAAAAATAATTATTCTTACACAAAGAACGGAACGTTGTCCTATATATACAACTGAAAGGCCACAAAGGAGGGATTGATGCACAAAACTAGGTTTCTTGAAACAATTCATACTTGAAGATTCACCTCCTAATGAGGAGTGATCTCACATTGCACATAAATAGAAGCAAGGGGTAACTAAAGAATAATGGTCGCTGTGGTGTAACTGTCACGGTGGTACATTTGGTGTCTATCAGAGAAGCAACATTCTCAGGATAGTCAACACATATGTTAAATAAAATTGAACAAAAGAAAGAATTTCAAACTCCATTGTTACCAAGATTAAATCTTTATCTATGGGAAATCACCAAAACCTGAATTTCTCACAAACTGAGAATAGATTTCCAGATTGGGGCCCAACTGATAAGCCTTCCACCAAACCAAAGAGTACAAGAAAAAACTAATACCAAGGATTCCAAAGGTCCATCATTTTGATACCATTAGTACTCTTTAATGGTCCCAAAAGGTATTCCTTTCATCAGGCAAGGAAATTTAAACGGAAAAAATAAACAAAAGATGTAATACTCAGACCTAAGCCAATAAGAATCATCCATTAGAAACCAGTTCAAAGTTTGATTACACCCAATTAATTAATTAACTTTTGGGTTCTTGGGTTTTAACATTCTACTGTTTATGCAAAACAACAACTGCAAATTTCAGCTATACAAGAAAGAAATCCAATTACCGAAATTTTCATTTCTAAAAGTAATAGCTGTGGCATATAGAACTAGAAGCAGTTCAATAGTATATATTTCCATACAAGGAAGAATACCAAGTTAATCAATTTTTCCTCAATCAGAATATTGCCGATAATCAAGTAAATCCATAAGAAAGAATACCCAATCATCCATTTTTTTTTTATTAATCAAAAGATATTACCTAATACCTATAATTAACTAAGAACCATTGCAGAGTATTCCTGCAACAAGAATGATATACAGCTTGGTTTCTTTTCTACACGGGATACAAATTCAAGAAAAATCATTCTCTTAAAACATGTATGGAGAGAGAGAGAGAGAGGGGGAGAGAGAGTAAAAAAGGAAAGATGGGTGGCAAGAGAAGATAGAGAGGGAGTTAGAGAGAGGAGAGAGAAAGCAATTCACCTCAAAATAGCTCCTCAATGAAACACCGGGGAGCTGCAAAATTCCCATGGTTTAATGGCAAGAGCTGCAGGGCATGGACTTCAAGACTTCGGATTTGCCCCGTAAAAAGTTGTAATCTCCGTCACACTCGACAATGATATACAAGGGTATAACAGTCAAAACCAATGGCTTAAAAAACTGATCGGTGACCCGGATGGGGCTTCCAAAAAATCGATCCGAATCGAGAATCGGCTATCCGGATCGAGAATCGGGTGAATCGGTCAGAATAAAACTTTAAAAAAATTCGAAAAAATTATTAAAATTCATTATAAATATTAGTTTTTAGGAATTCAATAAAAAATGAGGGTACTCCATTAAGAATTTTCATGTTTTTGAATGAATATGCGAATATTGATATGTTCTTTCCTTGCATGAACCGCCATTCAGCATTTAACTTACAGTATTTCGTGCTCATCCCTACACTGTTGCTGTTGGGACTCGATATGTGAATAATATGGCTGGAATAGGGTGGCCTCAGAATCATCATCTCTCTCGTTTTCTCTTTGAATAATATGGAATTAAAAAAAAAAAAAGCAAATTTTCAAAAAAATCGTTCATGGATTAAAAAAAAATCACAAATTTTCAAAAAATTCTATCATGGATTACAAAAAAAAATTCGATCATGGATTAAACAAAAAAAATCACAAATTTTCAAAAAATTCAATCATGATTACATAAAA